ACACACACACACACACACACACACACACACACACACACACACACACACACACACACACACACACACACACACACACACACACACACACACACACACACACACACACACACACACACACACACACACACACACACACACACACACACACACACACACACACACACACACACACACACACACACACACACACACACACACACACACACACACACACACACACACACACACACACACACACACACACACACACACACACACACACACACACACACACACACACACACACACACACACACACACACACACACACACACACACACACACACACACACACACACACACACACACACACACACACACACACACACACACACACACACACACACACACACACACACACACACACACACACACACACACACACACACACACACACACACACACACACACACACACACACACACACACACACACACACACACACACACACACACACACACACACACACACACACACACACACACACACACACACACACACACACACACACACACACACACACACACACACACACACACACACACACACACACACACACACACACACACACACACACACACACACACACACACACACACACACACACACACACACACACACACACACACACACACACACACACACACACACACACACACACACACACACACACACACACACACACACACACACACACACACACACACACACACACACACACACACACACACACACACACACACACACACACACACACACACACACACACACACACACACACACACACACACACACACACACACACACACACACACACACACACACACACACACACACACACACACACACACACACACACACACACACACACACACACACACACACACACACACACACACACACACACACACACACACACACACACACACAGTCAGCTAGAGAAGGTACAGAAAAGGGCCTGCAGAATCATGCTCGGCGCTGACTACTCCAGCTACACCAACACTCTCTCCACCCTGGAAATGCCATCTCTCAAAGACCTCCACCACCAAGCACTGGAAAGGTTTGGCAGCCAACTATTGCACCACCCTCGTCATCGCCACCTCCTGCCACCGGCAGCCCCCCACCCACCTCGCGCAGTCCACCACTACAACAAAATTCAGCCCATAAGAGCCTGCACCGATAGATATTAGAACAGCACCATCCCATCTATTGTTAAAATAATAAACAACGCCTGAGTTATGTACTGTACAGGCCTGTAAATGTATTCAATGCATTTTATATCATTATGTCTAAATCAAATGCAAGTGTATATTTTCAGCCACTGGCTGCAACACTATTAATAAATCGTTTACAGTGACCCCTCGTTTAACGAACACCTCGGTTAACGTAATTTCGATTAACGAACTGCCTTCCATAAGGATCTTCAATTCGGTTAATGAAAAAAAATTCGGTTAACGAAGTTCTTACGAACCGACCTCAACATGTTTTCGCTTGCACTGACCGGGCAACCAGCTTTAGTATCAGTCCGCCAATACATTAATCGGTTCTAGGGCTTAAATTCCTTACTATTTTAGTAAATATCAAGAAGTTTATACTATTCAATAATTTTAAAAGTTTAATATTCAATTTTTTAGTCATTTTAACAATTATTGAACATAATTGAAGGTAAAGTGACTAGTTTAATGCGCGGCATCCAGCCTCTTAACACAGCAAACAGGAGTTAGTCTCTCTCTGTTTTCACTGGAGGTAACATCTTGCTTGAGACTCTCTTCAACTAAACGCTTTTTTTCTGTGTTTCCAAGCAAAATATTGGTCATTTTGAAATATATTTTACATATTGACAATATATAATGCAGTGCAGTGTAGATTTAAAGAAAATAATCTTGAATTACACCAAGAGAGCTAAAATTTTATGGGTGAAATGGCGCCATGGGGTGACTTCTCTTCCACCCCAATGCCTTCTCTTCTTCCTTCTCCTCCACCCCCAATCTAAGTCCCATCATCATCATCATCATCATCATCATCCAGGAGCCTTCTACATACACACCTCAAAGTAAGTGAACTTTTCTACCATTTTTGTTGAATTTAGGAAATTTTCGATGAGCTGGAACCAATTACCCAAAACCCATTGAAACAATGGTTTCGGTTAACGAACGACCTTCTGGAACGGATTGAGTTCGTTAACGGAGGGGTCACTGTATTATTATTATTATTATTATTATTATTATTATTATTATTATTATTTATATACAATACAGGTAAAAGAAATAATTGTCCTAACGGCAAACACATAAAGGGAATATACATTTCGTTGTACACAAGTAATAATGTAACCCCTCCCCGGTCAGCAAATGTTATTCGTGGATTTGGCGATTCACGGCCATTTTGAGAGCCTAACCTCCGCGAATTTGAAGGGCGTGCTATAATATCATCCAAGCACTCCACCATGTACTGGCAGTCAAGCACTAACACCCAGATAACCTAATTCTCCTTATATACTTTCAGGTTTAATATGGAAAACAAAATGCAACAATCTTATTCTTTATCAATATACAGTACTGTACTGTATACTAATTAACTTGGAGCTGAAGTGTTGAATTCTTGAATAATTAGTCACATTTCTTCTTTAGCCCTTCAGCTGCTCCTACCTTCTTTCTGTTTATATATGGAATACACCTGATATCTAGCCAAATTTTCATGTTTTACACCCATGTTTAAACATCCCACAGGCAGACACACACCCACTCTATGAGAAGCTGCTTGCTTACACCCTTTCCTTCACAATAAATATTTCATATATTGTAAAAAAAAGTGTTAGGAAACAAACAATCTTTTTTTTTTCAATTTTGGGACCCTTAATTTTTTGCACACAGTGGAACTGCATAAGAAATATTAATAGCAGCACATACTGTAGTTTACTTGCCAACTGACCCTTATGAAGCTTTTGGAGAATTTCCACTTTTTCTTAAATTTTCAGCTCTATGTTTTCTATTTGCACTACATTGAGTTTTGCTATAATGCGTGTTTTGTCAACGCGAATTGGCTGTAACGCAATTGATGAATAGAAGAACAATATTTGTAAAACGCGAATGCGTTGGCTGTAACGCGATTCCACTCAAACGGTTATTGTGGCTTGGCGCGGGGTTATGCAGTGTTTACAGTTCATGTTCGACATCACATGTTCAATTGATTTATGTGTTTTGTTTGTGAAGAATTGCAGAAATAATTTATGTAATATTTATGTATACAGTATACCTGTACAGTATATGTAAATTGTAAAATTTTAAATAAGAGAGAAAAACAAAATACGTAGCATTTTACACCAGCGCTCTGTTTACTTGACACACGATCAGTTTGAAACACGTGGGAATAAAGCGTCCTCAGTGATTTTTTTATTACTGCTTCTCCAATTTTGTGACTATGGAAAAGAAGAATATCTCCGGGAAGCGTTCTGGTGATCGCATTTCCGGTGGTGATCGTAAAAGAAAGGCTATAACACTTGAAGAAAAGCTTGATGTTGTCAAGCGTTTTGAAAATAAGGAAAGAACATGTGATATTGTGCGTGCAACGGGAATAAAGGAGTCTATTTTACACACCATTAGAGACAAGCAGCAAAGATTAAAGCAAGCTGTATTGCTGGAAAAACCTTGAGCAGCAAAGATTAAAGCAAGCTGTATTGCTGAAAAAACCTTGAGCAACAAAGATTAAAGCAAGCTGTATTGCTGAAAAAACCTTGAGTGCTAGCAAAAGTGTGAGATCACGGCCAAGGGAACTTGAGGAGATGGAATGGCTTCTAAGTGTTCGGATAGAAGATCAAACGAAAAAGCGATCTGGGACCAGCTTCCTCACCATTAAAAAGAAAGCCTTACCAATATATGAGGACCTTAAGAAAAAAGCTGAAAATCCTGCTGATGTGATTGCCTTTAGTGCTAGTAGTGGATGGTTTTCTGGCTTTACGAACCGATATGCGTTTCATAATGTTAAGTTATGTGGTGAAGCAGCAAGTGCCTGATACTGACGATGACAAATGTCAAATCCTGTCTGCATGACTCCTCAACCTCAACATCAACCTTCTCCCCCATCAAGTTATATTTATATTTTTTCAAGGTAAAGTGTAACATTTACTGTATGATTTCATTATTAGATATGAATGTAACATTTATTTAGACTGCGCTATCCTTTGTGTTAGGCTAACTACTAAATTTTTTTCGATTTTGAGTATTCTGCACCATACCCTATTTTCTCCATAAGCCCTGTTATTTCTATTGCGCGAATTTCTAGAAAGCGAGGTTTTTACAAGAACACAACTATCGCGTTATAGCAGAACTGACTGTACTGTACTCAGTGCCATTACTTCTGCATTTGTTTTGTGACATTTTAAGGACAGCACACTTGATTAGAATTCACAGTGTTTTTTGAGTGACAATAAAGCAATGCAAGCAAGCAGGAGTTATTTGCCAACACCCTGAAAACATGCAAGGACACGTGGTGTCTTCCTGCGCTGTGGGAGACGCCTCACCATCAGTGACCAACCCAAGTTTGGTCAGCTGATAAGATTTAGAGGGAAATTTGAATTTGAAAATGCTTCAGAAAATTTATTTTCAGACCTAATTACTCAATTGTAGTAGAAATTATTGTAATATACAAGGAAAAATCAGAAATAATTGGAAAAAAAATCATAATATGAAACGGGTAAAACAAAATACTTGAACATGGAGATAAGGATTATGGGTTTGTTTTACCCTGCTTTGTAACTGGACAAACAAGACCTTTCTGAAAATGATAAGTGAGCCTAAGAACATACTTCATGTACAGTAGTCAGAACACAAGAGAAACAAAGAAAGTACAAATGAAAAGAAATGAACTTATGAAATTTTAAAAAAGAAAGTGAAGAGAAGAAAGTTATAGATTAATCAGCACATGACAAGAGTCAGGCGACAATAACAAAGTAAATACTGTACCTTTCTCTGTTTGCTCTCTTCTCTTCTTTCATCTCTTCTCTTCGTCTTTCTCTCTCTTCATATCTCTTTCTTGATTCGAGGGCTCGTACTAACACGCCATGATATCTCCGTCTTTCACGCTCCTGGTGACAAGAGCAGATGATGACAACATCAACAACTGGGAAGTGTTTGTGTGACATTACACAAAGTTGGCTCAAATCAGTAACCAAAAACCTAAAAGGTTTATTGTATTTCTAAACAGCCCCAATTAGCAATTAACAACAATTACTTTAAAAGAATTTCTATCAGAAAACTGAGCCTTGTTGGAGTATTATCCCTGTACTTGCTCAAGTCAATGTACAATATTGATCAAACATATTCAACTCAAACTTGGTATATCGTTTAATGAAATACAGGAAGTTATGGATTTCAAATGGGTTCCAAATTCGCAATAAACTTATCTACCAATTACAAAGGTTTTAATGAAACCATTATTTTTTATTCTAGTTTTATAAATAGGAAAATGATTATAATGCACTGAGGAAATGTTAGGCAAGATTACTGTATGACCTTTACCAAGGAAAACTGTATAAAAAGTTAATGGGAGTTACACTGGACAGACAGTCCATGAAACAGTGCTAGAATACTGACAAAAACTAGTTTAGGTAGTATAAATGTATGCCTTAATGAGATGCTGAACAAAGGTATGATAATGAGACTATAGCCTGCATGTATGAGATGTGTTCAGTAGAGATGATGGTTGGTTTTGGTTTAAAGCACCTTAAATAATGCCAAAGCAATAAACATATGTTAATGCAATTAGTATATCTTATTAACTAAATACCATTGCAAAAATGGTATATATATATATATATATATATATATATATATATATATATATATATATATATATATATATATATATATATATATATATATATATATATATATATATATATATATATATATATATATATATATATATATATATATATATATATATATATATATATATATATATATATATATATATATATATATATATGACATAAGAGTAATGCCACACATACAGTATATATATTCAAGAGTGTGAAAAAGTGAAAGTCCCATATGCCTGGTGGCTCATCAGCAGTAGTGTGGATAAAGCACAAACAAACTTATTCTTTTAATGGTACACAAGGAGGAATTGTGGCCTGCAGTGTACTTGACTGCCTTCACTTGACCAACTGTTGAGATACGTATGTACTTTTCACAGCTGGGAGGTAAGTGCTGTACAGTATTCACCCAGCTGCTGTAACTCTGACCTTGATGGTACAGTGACCAAATTTTAATATCTGACAAAAATAGGTACAGAATTTTAAAGAATTCAACAAGCTCCAATGATTATGTATCTAGATATGTGGTATTTTTCTCAGCACTAAAAAAAAAATAAAGGAAAATTATTCCAAATATTCATGTTTAGTTGTTTACTGTAAAGTATTCGTTTATGCTAGTTATGAAAATATTTTACTAATCCCAAATATACTTTTCTGATAATAAAAATCTGAAGTAGAATTCTCAATAAAAGGCTCAAGAATCTCTTCAGCATAAACAGCAATCCCAATTAACATGAAGACACTATTAAGACACCAAGATAAGAAAATTTGACACTTGTCTGTGCCCTCCAAACAGCTCCATCATCAAATGTTACCATAAACCAACAGTTCTCCCTTATTATAAAAAAATTAAATAAAATAAAAATAAATTTCAATTACAGTGAACCCTCACTTTACGCGGTTAATTCAACCCACAGGGTACCGCGGAAAGTGAGAAACGCGTAAAGTGTACAACATAACATATGGGATTAAATGAAATAGAGACCGGCTGTCCCCCAAATGCCACTTTTTCCGACACAATACCTATGTTCTAGTAAAAATAACATCTTAATTTTATGATGGTACATGCACACAATTAATACTTAAGAGAAATAGAGAAATACAGTCGCCAAGTTAATGTCCATTCAAATAATGGACTCAACTCCCTCCCCCTCTTCTCACACTACACTCGCTGGCTCTTCCCTCTCTGAGAAATTTTTGGGGGAAAACCATTAGATTTTAAGGTATAGTAATAAATAATACCTCAAACTAAAGTTAGGATAATATAATTGACATTGCTGGATTCCTTGTAAGACCAGGAATATTTTGAATATAAATGTCATATATTTTGCACAAAAGATAACATATTTACTCAGAGTAAACATTATATCTAAAATTTGTATGTCTAATGCAAAATCTATGATGTTTATATTCAAAATGATCATCAAATTGTAAGAATTCCAGCAATGTAAATTATATTCTGGCCGGGTAATTTGTATGAATTTTATGAGCTAAAACAAATATCTTCAGTTAATAAAAAAAAAAAATATTCTTCACACCGTGCCAGATGGTCGGTCGGTCCCTCCCTACCAGATAAATGTGTGGGAAAACCAGAATATTGACCTTTTTAGTAATAAATAATACCTCAGACTAAAGTTAGGATAATATAATTGACATTGCTGGATTCCTTGTAAGACCAGGAATATTTTGAATATAAATGTCATATATTTTGCACAAAAGATAACATATTTACTCAGAGTAAACATTAGATCTAAAATTTGTATGTCTAATGCAAAATCTATGATGTTTATATTCAAAATGATCATCAAATTGTAAGAATTCCAGCAATGTAAATTATATTCTGGCCGGATAATTTGTATGAATTTTATGAGCTAAATAAAAAAATTATACTTCACCCGCGTAAAGGGGTACACGCACCGCGGAATGTTAGCATTCTGGTTTCAGCAGGGGTACCGCGTAAACGTGGAAACGCGGAATGTGGGACCGTGTAGAGCGAGGGTTGACTGTACATTATATCTAGATAATGGCTTCTGGGACAATACTTTCACTTAGAATGAACAACTGATTCATTCTGCTGTCTTTTCCATAATGTACATAATGAAACAACCTTAAATAAATTATTAGAATTATCAATCAATAGTTTTAAAGTTCTAGTTTTCAGAAATAAAAAGCAAAAAATAACAAGTATAACTACATATTGTATGCAGTACAGCATACTATGCAAGCATTATGAATCAGAAGATAATATATTAACCTTAAGTTCATTAATTTTCCTTCACCTTCTCTAGTTAATTATGCAGGCAAAAAGTTGTGATGCACTACACTACATAGTCATAACTCAAAAGACTGCACTGCAATAAAAGCAAAGTGCAAGATGCAATGAGAAAAAACTGCCAATAAAGAATTTTGTTATTTGCCTTATTTTAAAAGAGCAGTTAAATAAAATAATATATATATATATATATATATATATATATATATATATATATATATATATATATATATATATATATATATATATATATATATATATATATATATATATATATATATATATATATATATATGCTGAGATATCAATGTGCATGGAAGGGAGAGAGGCTTTTCTATTACCTTATCTATACATACTTATTTCCATCAATCATGGGATAATATGCTGACAGAATGATTTAAATAATACAGAAGAAGAAGGTTAAACTAATCTCTGCACATAAGATGCCTATAATGATTACTGTATTGTGGATGAGAACTCCTGGGAAATTTTTGGCACAGTCCTGGATAGTTTTCCAGGGATTCAATAGTGAATTTTCTTTTGGCTTTAGTTCCCCATGTGGTGTTGCTGAATAATGGTTTATTATAGATAATATAATGTATATACTGTAATGACTTAATAATGTCAAGTATTAAACCTACAAAAAATAAAAATAAAAATGAAAAGCTCATATTTTCTGAAGCACATTAAATTCTTCTTCCTCCCAGACTTTGATGAGACAGCCTTCCCAAGTGATGTAATGCACCCAAAGACCTTGCCTGGGCCCAGAGGGTCTTAACGAGGAACAGTAAGTTTGTTCTGCTATGTTGTTTATTACACAGATGCTGATCTGTGTGTGTGTGTGTGTTAAATCACCCTTCAACCCAACTTGTCAATCAACTTGGAGAGAACTCCAAGCACCTAGAAGCAAACACTGTTCCATCACCTTACATTTACACTAAAAACCATCACTTTTGATATCAAATAAAAGGTAACTTTCAAAAAGTGTCACCCTTATAAACCTATGAAATTCACAAATAAAAGAGGCAACTGTTCAGTATTTAGTATAACATTCTGTATATGGAAGTATACTACAAAATGTGATGAGACTGCCTTCATATGTGGCAAAAGAATTTATTACAGGGAGACCAAATTTCTTTAAAACTACCAAATGGTATTTTATAATAAACAGTCCCTTTATAAAGTGTTTCTTAGAATCCCATTTCCATGTTTTTCTGTGTTTTATAACCCAGTAAACTAAAACAAAAATTTAAGTCACAACAGAACCCCTTTAATTTTGATATTCCAAACATGGACCTCAAAAAGTTTTGTAATATTTATATTTTAAAAGATTATTTGTGGGAATTAATGATTTGTAAGGTAGTGAAACTGAGTGAGAGATCATCAAAATTCTCTTACCTACAGGAGAAATATAACAACATGCAGTACATGCATAACTACATCACTTACCTCTCTATACTACAGTAATTAGAATACAGTATTGTTTTGTTCCTCAAAACAAGAAAGAAATAAAAAAAAATTAACAGGACTAGCTTACTTATCTGCTACTGAGGTAAGCTATTGAAATACAGCTGTATCCACAAATTACTTTTACAAATTTTAGTGATCTACTCATCCTTGAGGTGAATATTATGAAGATAAGCCTGTAAATGTGTATGTATATATGAGGTGCTTAGAATAACAAGGGCATATCACCAGATTGCTCTATTTCCCATTTTCTATGTTAGTCCATAGCCCCAGCATTCCTCTATCATTTATTGATGTCAGGCAATGTGGATATGCCTCCAGCATGGTGCAGTCCTCATAAGAAAACAAGGCCAGAAAACATGCAGTACAACCTGAACATGGAGCTGAGTTGAGATATTCAAATATCAATCAATCAATCAGAGTACTGTCCTCATATCTGAGAGTTGGCGACTACAGCGATCCACTTTAAACGTTCTCAGGCTGTTTTTATCATTCCTTCAAGGTTTTGTATCTCTCTGGGGACCCAGTTTTTAATTTTATTCCTCCATCCCAGTCTCTGCCTTCCCCTGGCCCTTCTACTCTCAACTTTACCCATTAATATTTCTATTATTATTCAGACATATGCCCTTGCCTAATATGCATTTGTGTACAGTATTACTGTGTATATATATATATATATATATATATATATATATATATATATATATATATATATATATATATATATATATATATATATATATATATATATATATATATATATATATATATATATATATAATTTCAAGCTGAGTAAGGTAAAATAAAATATTATGGGCATATTGAGTGATTGCAAAGATAGTTTTATATAATGTGTGTATAATTCAGAAGTAGATGGTAGGAGGAAGAGGGGTAAGCTATGAAGGATGGGTTGAAGGAAGAACTAAAAGTAAGGGAATCTGATATCTAGGGAGCAGCAGTGCACAATGACATGAATTAAGAGGAGAATGGTGTTAAATGGTTCATAACAATGTCACATCAATCAGAGAGAATGAAAAAAGGTGGGAATAAAAAGAAAAACCTGTATTTGCTCTTGAGTCTGGCCACCCTGCAGGATACCAGGAAAAGGCTTGCAACATGGTTTTTGTTGATTATGTTAATGATATTGTAAGGTATATGAAGGAATGTATGGAGTAGTAATGTTCATGTCTGACCTTTCAAAGAAACTAAATATACAAGGAATGAAGTTCTACTTAAATCTGAAAGTAGAAGCATCATTATACCTAATGATACATGTTGCAGTTGACTTAATCAAAACAACACTTGAACAGTTCTGACTATATTTTCATCATTGCTTTAAGATCTGTAACATTAAAATGTATAATATTACATAATGATGGAGGTGTCTGGGCTATTAGCTGCTTTTTGCCACATATTATTATTTTCTTTATTGAGCAATGAGTAAAATAATTAAAGTGTGGATGGTTTGTTTGATAACAATACACCCATAAAAGATGGGGTGGATACCAAAGCACAAAATTCTTGTTCTCTTTATCAAGCAATAACTAATTACCTCAATATGAGCAAAGAGTGACAAGGGTAACCAATATCACTTTAATGATGATAAAGAAAATAGGTTAAGGAAATTACTCTCATTCATGAGCCTACAATTAACAGCTTTAAATTCTCTGCTCAATTTTTAACTGAAAAAACAAAGCACAAAACTATCCAATGTTGTTTCTTCTATGGACTCCCATGCATCCAAAGGCTGTGTGATGCCCTAAAATCAATCGTGCATCAGGTACTAACAGTGTTGATATTGAACACCCACTTGACATTGCTCTCAGATCTTAATTATTTAGACTTGCTGTCTGCAGTTGCACAATTAGCAAACCTAAAATTAACAAAAATACAAAGTGCTTTAATAGATGCACAACTGCCAAATATTTTGATTTAATGGGTCCTAAACAGCCCACATGCTGGTCAAACAACTTCTAAATTACCATGATTTTGAAGAAAAAAAAGCAGAAAATTAATTTAGATTAGCTATGTAATGAGTGAATGAAAAATATCAAGGCTGACCTCAGTAACCTGGTTTACAAGGCATTTGTGTATAAGGAAGCATTAGACCACAGTGGGTCTGTGACAGGCAAGAGGGAGCACATAACACAGGTGCAGGTAAGTCTATCAAGTTAAGAGTGTTTCTAGCCTTGTTGGACAATTCTTGGCATTATCTTAATGAAGAAGTAACAAAAGTGATTGTTTTAATCGGCGAGTAATTTATGGCATTATTTTCTGATCAAACTGTTTAAAATGTAAAATAAAAAATGAGGTTGAGGAGAAGTTAAGGACTGATCTTTTTTTAAAAATTGGAAATAATAATGTTAAAGAAATGATAATTATCTAATTATAAAAACTAATAATAATAGTACAGTAGTATTAATAATAATATTGAATAATAATAATAAATTTAAATATTACTCTAAGGTGTAGTACCTGACTGGTAATTGCAAAGGTATGTATGTACCAATAACAAACACTAAAAATGATCCATCTCTGTCATGCCAGTAAGGTCTCATGACAAACTTATGAAGTAAATTGATCATTCTTTCAAATGATTCTCTATTTACTTAAGTCACCAACATTAAATCTGATGACTCATAATAATCAGTATAAATGTCCAAAACTCTCTAATACCAAAGGAGTATGTTTAATATAATTGTTCTGCTCTAATTTTCTAAGACTTATAAGGAATATGAAAGTCTCTCTTTTGACTCTTTCATAATTTGACTTCTAGCTTATTCTACCCCTAACCATGTAGAGATGACAGATGTGCCTCCTAACACACTCCCAGCAAGGTGACAGGTACAGTAAACAAAATTATCAAAATTTATCTCTACATCTTCCAGTGATCAATAATATTTAAACCATTTACTAAAGAATTTTCTATATTGACTCAGCAACCAAGAACAGTACGTAACGTAACGTAACGTAACGTAACGTAACGTACAGTACAGTACAGTATATAAAAAATGGACAATATTTAACCAAATGGCTGATACTATAATTATGAACAAAAACTGAGCAGAAAAATACCATAATTATCCACCTATACAATACTTCATAAAGCACAATACTAAACATGAATATCTACTCTGAATTTATTTATTCCACAATAATACTTTAAGGTGTCAAAGACTATTACTTATGACAACTGTAGATCAAATTAGTCTGTTCTGGTCATCCATTTAATTTGAGCCTTTAAATTTCAAATTGTTGCAAACAAATTTGGAGTTAGGAAAAAAATTAAACAGTAAAGATTTTGGTTAGACGAGTTTTAGACATCTTTCATGAACAAGTCAGTCTACAATGAATTAGAATTTGACTGTCTATCTTAAGCAGTCTGAAATATTGAGAAGGCACCCAAATACTGTATCACTAACTTCATAAACTTCTTTAGCATCAAATTTCAATAATCCAACTTATTACAATAAAAGGTTTCTTATATTACTTAAGCTCCATCTTTAATGTTTCTCATTGCCAACCTCATCAAAACTCAGTGAGCTTGTATAGGAAATCAAATAAGTCAAACAAAATTGCAAACACTCTGGCTTGACTGAGTGCATCATGAGGGTGGAAGGACATACCAGCTCAAGAGTGTAGAGCATTTCACGTTGTTTGTTGAGCTCCTGTAGATACAACTGCGGAACAACAATAATGTCAGAGTGTCAGAGAGTTACTACGTGATGTCACCCACCATTATGATCCTTAAGCATCACAAAAAGAAACACACACTCTCCTCTATATTCTTGAATTATGTGGCTTCACAAGTGGCATGAGGGTCACAATGGCCGGTGAATACACATATTGTGGGGGCATGCCAATCAACCGTTAAAACTACGTAGTTGAGAGTGTCGGTGGAGGAATGTGGTAACAGTAATACACTAAAGTTTGTTGTGGAAATAAAAACTTCATACAAATATGTATGATGTATACTGAAATAAATGATGACTGGGAGTCACAAGAATAATGTCAGTTTAAAAGGCAAAGTTTAACATTATACAGTACTTATAAAAAAACACAAGTTAGTATAATGAACCTTATTGAAGTTGTGTCAGAGCTCATTATCTGCATAAAGCACCACAAAAATATAATTCACATTTCAAAGGATAGAATTATGGGCATCTTCCACCGACTCTCTTGAGTAAAGACTCATCAAAGATTTAGTTACACTGACTGACCAATTGATGACATACACTAACAAGGTTTTCATTGCTCTGAGAGTCTGTAGAGTGGCTAAGACAGCTGTGGATGGCTGCTTCTGTCAATATGGAAATTTGTAAAACATTCTCAATAAAATGTCTACAGTCTCAAGATGAGTAATTTGTGGCATTAGTCTGTCTACAGCTTCTTGTGTTACTCTACAAAAGTGCCAATCCTACAGCATTCAATCTACAAATTTGAGATAAGGACTTAATTCTGTAAAAGAATCAATCAAGGTATGTGACTTTTGTCAAACATTTCCTGAGTTCCAACGAAGAGAATGTCAACAGCTAGCCATTCTAAAATATTCTTCTGCTCATGTCAGGGAATCTTTGCCAAAGAATCTCACCCTAACTGAGATCATTTACAGAAGTATCCTAATGGCTCAAATGTGCACAGGTACTGAAGGTAAAATTATAAAATGCCTGGTCCTCTATCACAGATCACTGTTTGAGCATCACTAGTCAATATTATTAACACATACAAGTAAAATACAAAAACTTAAGACTTGGCACTCAAACACTGACTTAGATTGAGATATCACACAAAGGAAACACTTACTGCCAGTAAATTAACAGAGAAAAGTAAGGGTTACCAATATATATTTTTTCTCAAACATCAAACTTCTAAGAATGTAGTCAAACTAAGCTAAGAATTTCCATAATTCTGGTAAGTCAAACAAAAAGAGGAAACTTTGTAGAGAACCAGACTAAAGGGATTTAAGCAGGAAGTGCTTCCAGCTAATACTCAGGCAATAGAAAAATGAACCAACCAGAGCAGTCTCCAGTGAGGTAGTATACTTACCATAGGCTCAAGAAATGGGTAAATTTGTGCAAGGTATTTCTATTCCAGGTAATTCAAGAGAAAATATTCTCCTAATAACATAAAGTACCCATCCTGATCTCAAAGTAAAATTTAGTACTGTACTGCATTTATTTAGTACTGTACTGTACTATGAAGATGGACAAGACTCTATGCACAAATTTACCACTTAAAAATATTGCAAACAATCTTCCCTATTTGAACAGTATACAAATGTCATGAGTCACATTAATAATAAATGTAACAGACCACACAATAATATTTCAACAAGGCACATTTTTCTGTAGTAAAAGAGACAAATACGGTATAACTGACTTCTCTGAAAAAATCTCAAACTACTTCATCCCCGCACACATACAATTTTAGCAATTTTACTACAGTACATACAATGACTTCACTAGTAATAAAAGTGGTATAAATATATACACTACATTATCCTACAATTCAAATGAAACAAAATCTTAGCATAACTTACCTGCTCTTTCAGTAATTTTTGTTTCTGCTTTTCTTGTTCTCTTTCCTGAAAGCAAAATTTTACTGAGTTATTGAAGTACAGTACAAATAATAAATGAATAAACTTTGAAGAACATGAAATGAAACATCTGCTATGATAACTTGTATATGTTTTTTTAATAAATCAGTGAAAGTACAATACTTGAACGAAGTTTCATGCTGCATGTATAAATAAGACATAATTTATATCTAATTTACGGCACAAGACGGCAATAATATCAGCAAAGGGACTGAATGGAGGTAGAATTAAAGGTGTAGGAAAAAGTTGGAGTACCAAGGTATGTTCCAGTAATTGGTCGAGCAACAAGGGAGAAAAAAGAGAAATATTGTGAGATTATAAGGAACATGAGAGATGTATCAAATGTCTGGATGGACACATTGATGTGTGTACAGTATCTGCTAAAGGAAACGGCATAAAGTTATGGAATTCCTAATGAAAAACCAGCCTGCTCAATGCTGAACAGAGAGGATTAAGAAATAATATGTGGGTTACTAAGGTTAAGCTATGAGAATTTATAAAAGCACCCATGTGAGTGTATCAGATCTTCACATTAAGAATGCAAGCTGACAAAAATGCTGGAAATTTAGAGATTATAAAAACATTTGCAAAATGAGCTAATAAAGACTGCACATTGTGTGAAGTGTGCTAACAGACACCAGTGGGAGATAATTTGTATGTCCTAGATGTGACACTGGAAAGATCTTATCTAATGTTAAAGTATTAAATTAAGACTCAAGAACACCCCCAGAGAGCATTCAATATCTCCAAATAATGGACATAGAGACAAGTGCAATAAATGAAAGGTAATACTGCATTTGTCTTTGTACATTAAGTAAGACATACAAGTACTGTATAGTAGGATTTTACTGTCAAAAGCCTCTGATGGGTTGGGGTCCAAAAAGTTGAACCTTGGAAGCTAAACATGGCCATCTTCCATGACTGACATGAAACAAACAGAAAGTAGGGTTCTGATGACAGGAAAGTACCTAAACCAGTAAACTGTCTGAAAGAAATAAAACTCATGTGTCCTTGCAGTAGAATAGCTAATACAAGTGTCTTCAGCACTAAGATTCAAATATGGTGTGCCTACTATGAGAAGCCCCTGGTTCCTCTTGCTGATTACAGGTGAAGGTAGCCACCCCAAATTGTTCTGATGCTCCAGTTATTTTCTTTAAAGTTAATGTTGGATCAATTAATATTCCTCTCCCTGAGACCAGCAATTCCAATCTCACTAATTTATTTGTAACGTTTTTGAAGTCTGTTGGTTAAGCCATAAATAATCTAAGCATTCCCAAATGAAGAATGGGAGTTGCAAAAATCACTAGATCTGCCAACACAAATATGCTTATCATAGGCTCAAGAAATGGATATATTTGTGCAAGGTGTTTCTAATCCAGGTAATTCCAGAGAAAATATTCTCCTAATAACATAAAGTGTCCACCCTGATCTCAAAGTAAAACTTATTACTGTACTGTTCTATGAAGATGGACAAGAAACTACGGTTGGGCTGGTCTAGTGAGTCAGAGACATAGTTATGGCCCACCATCTACACACACATTCACTTCCCACACATCCATTCTCTTCATTTGTCTTATTTTATAGTTTTATATTATATTCTAAGCCACATCATTTATACAGAGTGGAATAATTGTTAATGAAGTCCATTTTTCTGAAACACATGCACTGGAAGTCAGCTGGCGCGGTCATCTTGGGGAAACATGCGCATACTGCCCTCCCATATGGTGATGTACCAAAGTTAAACAGTACAGAGGGCCCCCAAAATTCGCGGAGGTTAGGTTCTCAAAATGGCCGTGAATCGCCAAATCCACAAATAACATTTGCGGACCGGGGGGGGTACATTTTTACTTGTGTACAGGTGCTCATCTACTTACGAACGAGTTACGTTCCTGAGGCTTGTTTGTAAGTCCAACTTTACTCTTGTAGATACCAAGCATATTGTAAAAAATGAAAAGATTATGGATATTTAGTGCAGCTATACCCTTTAATACAGCCTTAAAACCTGGCTCACTCTTCTCCTCTTAGGTAATGTTTGTTCTATCTGGATGCAAGGGCGGAAACGATCTTCCTGCTCGTTACCGCTGCTTACTCGCTCGTTTACTGGCGCGACCCCCACTTGGGGGGGGGGGGTTGGACGGAGGTAAGAACGTCGCTGCTACCAGTGTCACCGGCTCAGATCCTACTCAGCCGTCAGTACAGCCACTACCTCCGCCGCAGTTCGTTAAATTCTGGCTGTGATCTCATCAAAGGCTTGGGACTCGTGGGCTGTGTCCCCAAACCTTCACCTATTGACTGTCAATCCCCTGACCCCATACCACGACCGTCAGTTCATCTCCTCCATCTCTGCTCCGGTGTTCTCCTGCTATATCAAGACACTGGCCGCTGTCGCACGAGTGAGGAGTTGAATGGACCATCCCCGTGAGAGTGGATCACTGCATTCCAGAACCTTCCCCAGGGCTGCTGTCGTAGGAAATATCTGTTCATTGTTTGATCCTATTGTTGTTTGATTCCTTTAATTGTTTGATTCCATTAATTGTTTGATTCCAATAATTATTTGATTCCATTAACTGTTGACTGCTTTAATTGTTGACTCCCGTAATTGTTATTTCATGTTGTTGAGAGGTAGAGTTTTGTGTTATATTTTTATAGTAAAGAGATGTCCATCTCAAACGGTTGTTTGTTATTCCTCAGAAAACCATGGTCCTTGACTTTCCTTTTTTAAGATCCTCATTAGTCTGGAAAGGGATTTCTTTCCCTAAGTCCCAGGCCTTTACACTGGAATTTCTTCAAAATAATCCAGTTTCATCCATATTAAGCACCTGTTCTGGCAGGTAACCCCCATCAGTGATGATGTTTGTATCTCTGAAAGTTTGTAAGTTGAACATTCTTAAGTAGAGGAGCACCTGTACAAAGAAATGTATACCCTGTATTCCCTTTATGTGTTTGCCCTCCGGATAATTATTTCTTTTACCTGTAGTATTGTACAGTAAGTCCTCGTTTAATGGTGCCCCCGATAACGTTGTTTCGTTATAACGTCGCTACTCTTTAGATACCAATAATTCAGTTAACGTCCCGATGACTCAATATAACGTCGTTTTTAGCATCTTCACGGACTACTTTTTACAGCGCACCACCCTCTCTCGTCTTGGTGCGCTACCTCTCACTCGCGGAACGTCACAGCGTCCCCAAGCGGCGTCAGTTTTTGTTAGGCTTCCACAGCTTTTGTGCGTGTTTAAGTGACTTTGCTCTTAATACAGTACAGTAGGGTCGAGATATTTAGCTACTAAAATTTAGCTACTAAAATTATCGAAATTTTCCTATATACAGTGGTCCCTCGGTTAACGAACGCCTCGGTTAACAAAATTTCGGTAAACGAATTACCTTCCATAAGAATCTTCAATTCGGTTAACAAAAAAAATTTGATTAACGAAATCCTTACAAAAATCAAGTTTTGTGTTGAACATCAGCTGATAAGCTGAGGAGGTACTCAGCCAATTCAGTAATCTCTTCTATGTTTACATTCGTTTGCAATGGAGTAAATATCAAGAAAATTGTGCTCTTTAATATTTGTGCATTTTTTTATACAGTATTAAAATTATTGGTCATTCTAAAATTTAGCCATCCAAGTCTCTGTCTACATAAAGTTTATCAACTATTATTTTTGGCTCGATATATGTAACTTTATTCATTTACTGAAACTCATTTACATGCACACACTGTCCTAAGGGCAAAGCTGAACTGTACATGTAATCTGAATAATGTACAAAATGATTACTAAAATTTTTGTCGAGTGCAAACTATGGCATGTATACATTCAAATTAATCACTATCTTATAAGAATTCCAGCACCGTAAATTATATTCTCCCCGGTCACTTCTATGAAATTTATAAGCATAAAACAAAAACTCAATCTAAAGGACATATATAAACAATTAAATACTTCACACCTCAGAGCCAACTGTCAAACATGTCAGTGTCACCCCTCCCTCCCTCCCTACCCCCCACCTTCCCAGCAAAGGTTTGGTGATTTTCAGTAGGCTTTAAGTTTTTATCTTATATAATATCTCAGACTAAAGTTAGGAGAATATAATTTGCATTGCTGGAATCCTTGCAAGACAGCGAATAATTTGAATAAAACGTCATATATTTTGCACAAGAGATAAAATTAATCACCTGTATCACATTACAGTAGTGATTTAAGAGTATATATATATATATATATATATATATATATATATATATATATATATATATATATATATATATATATATATATATATATATATATATATATATATATATATATATATATATATATATATATATAATATATATATATACATGTATTGTGGACTACGGTACTAAGCGTACCCTTTTCATCACTTTGTAATAAACCTAGCCATGCCTCTGTGTGTTTATGATATTAACCATAACATTATATATATACAGTGGTACCCCACTTAACGCGGTCAATTGAACCCAGAGGGTCCAGCGTTAAGTGAAAACCGCGTTAAGTGAATAACAGAACATATGGGATTAATTCCAATAGAACCCAGCCCGACCCCCAAACTCCACTTTTTGACGACAAATAACTATGTTGTAGTAAAAATAACATCTTAATTATATGATGGTACATGCACACAATTAATACTTAAGAGAAATACAGTCGCCAAGTTAATGTCCATTCAAATAATGGACTCAACTCCCTCCCCCTCTCACACTACAGTACACAGCCAGCTAACAGATGGTCGGTCGGTCCCTCCCTCCCTCCCCCCCCCCACCCCCCACCAACCGTCCCAAGGAGATGTGTGGGATAACCTCAAACTAAAGTTAGGAAAATATAATTGACATTGCTGGATTCCTTGTAAGACCAGGAATATTTTGAATATAAATGTCATATATTTTTCACAAAAGATAACATACTTACTCAGATTAAACATTTTCTCTAAAAATTGTATGTTTAATGCAAAAAATATGTTGTTTATATT